TCTGGGACCATGACCTGAGCCGAAGGCAGACGCTTAACCGATGAGCCACCCAGGCATCCCATATTGACCAGATTTTTAACAGGCAACAAGAAATGCCAGACAATAGATTTGCTTAGTCTACCATACAACAGCCAATGGTAGAAGCAATCTGTGTGTCCATAATGGATGAACAAAATGTAGTATGTGTATGTGTGTGCGTGTGTGTGTGTGTATATACACAATGAAATATTCAGCATTAAAAAGGAATGAAATTCTGATACATTCTACAACATGGATGAACCTTGAAATATTGTACTAAGTAAAATAAGCCAGACATAGAAGAACAAATATTGTATGATTCCATTTATATGAGGTACCTACACTAGCCAAATCACAGAAACATAAAATAGAACACAGGTTCCCAGAGGTGGGAAAGGAGGTAATGGGAGTTATTCTTTAATGGGTAAGAGTTTCTGTTTAGGGTAATGAAAAAGTTTTAGAAATAGAAGTGGTGATGGTCGCATAATATTGTGAATATACTTAATGCCATTGAGTTGCACACTTGAAAATTATTAACATGATAAATTTTATGTATATATTAACACAATTTAAACAAAAGAAAAAAAAAAGAAGAAACCTGAGACCAATTAATTACCATGGAAGAAATCGTAGTGAGAGTCAAAGATCTGCCTTTAAGAGAGGTAACACACCCAGATGGTTTTACAGGCGAGATCTACCAGCTCTGACAATGTATTAACGTCCAGAATATATAGAAGCAATAAGAAAGGAATAAATAACTCAATAGACAAAAAGGCGATTATAAACAGGCATTTCAGTAGAAATGCAAACGGCCAATAATCAAAAGAAAACTAGTCTCAGTAGTCACCAGGGAAATGGAAATGAAAGGAACACGATGCTATTTTTCAACCACCAGTTAAATAAAAAAGGAAAACTGACAATATAAAGCATTGCTGAAGGTACGGGGAAGTGGGTACTCACATACTGTGCAGAGGGTACTATAAAACAGTTAAAGCCTCTTGCGAGGGCAAATGGGCAGTGGTTATTAAAATTTTAATTGCACTTTACCCATGACCCAGAATCTATCTTAGGTAAGTATTTATAGATGTGCGAAAAGGGATAGCTTTTAAAAATTAGAAGCAAACAATCTAGTGATATGAAAATGGTTAAATAATCTGTGGTATGTTATACTACGGAATTCCAGGCATCAATTAAAAAAAACGAGGTACGGCGCCTGGGTGGCTCAGTCGGTTAAGCATCTGCCTTTGGCTCAGGTCATGATCCCAGGGTCCTGGATCGAGTCCTGCATCGGGCTCCCTCCTCAGTGGGGAGTCTACCTTTCCCTCTCCCCCTCCCCCCCCATTTGTGCTCTCTCTCTCACACGGTGTGCACTCCCTCTCTCTCGCAAAAATAAATAAATAAAATCTTAAAAAAATAAAATTAAAAAAATTAAAAAAATAATAAAAAGAATGAGGTAGGTCTGTACATATCAATGTGGAAAAATCTCTAAAATACATCACGAGGTTAAAACCAAAAAGTAAGTTTCAGAATGAAGCATATGGTGTGAAACCATTTATTTAAAACCAAACAAACCAACACCACAAACTGAAACTACAGATTTCTGTAAATCACAGATAAAGATCGAGAGGAATCCACATTAAATTGGTAACAGTCACTACCGTCACCGCCTGTAGCACTAGGATCTCAGGGAGAGCTAAAGGGGACTTCAGTTCCATCTGTATATTTGACTTTTTTAAAAATAAAGAAAATGTATACCTCTATTACTTACATAATTACTTACATGATTAAAAATACAGAAACTTAAGGAAAAAGAGGCCTGTAGTAATCAGGCCTGATTAAGAAGACAGAAATGCTGTTAAGGGCCAGCCCCTTTGTCTCTTCTTTGTTCAAGAAAGGTCAAGATTCATCAATTTTGATCATCTCTGCCGCCTCAGTATTCTCTCTGCTGCTATTTCAAAAGACACTGAATTCACTCCCCTCTTATTCTCCTTTAGAATCTTCATCTTCCTTCTAAGCATCAGGCTTTCTTTCTATGACTCTGAATCTGGGATTGAAAGTCAACAGAGGTAGGAAGAAGAAGCTAAGTCATCGTTTTGTCTCCTCTTAAGTTCTAGTGGCAAATGAGACTTTCCAAAAACAGCCACACCCACATGCTCTTTTCGTCAATGGGACTTTGACATTCCTCCCACTGAAGGGGTGGGAGAGACTACGTTCCTTCCTCTCTAATCCTGGCTGGCTTGTGATGACAGGAGTGACACTATGTGATTTCCAAGGCCTAGTTCTCTTGGGAGGCTCATTCTTGGGACCCAGCCACCTCACCGTGAGGAAGACCAAGCAGCCCATGGAAGACAACTCAGCTGAGCTCCCAGTGGACAACAAGCACCAACGTGCCAGCCATGAGAGTGAGCCATGGATCCCTGAGGCCCCTCCCTGACCCACCCCAGCCGATGCTGCATGGAGCAGAGGTGAGCTGTTCCTGCCGAGGCAGGTTAAATTACATGAGTGAAACACCTTGTTATAAGCCTTACTAAGTGTGGTGGTGGCCTGTTATAAGGAAACAGACAACAGGAACAGTTTCCCTCACAAATGTGGACAACCCTTAACTCACCAGCTGCCCCTCCAGTGATGCCAGGCCAGCAACTATCTGACAGAGATTGCTTTAGAAGACATGGTAGGGAGCTGGAAAGGGGTGGAATAGACATCTATACCCCACAGAGTTACATCAGATGACATCTGAGGGTCCTTCTTACAAGAAGATTCTGCAATGAACATACTGAGCTAAGTGCTGAAGCGCATCCTAGCGCCATCTTTTCCCAAAGCAGAAGACTGTCTTCTCCAATGACCTTTTACCTTTCAGAAAGCTGCCGGATCTGCGGAATTCCCATATACTTGTGGAAGTGCTCCAGAACATTCATCACACCCTGAAGAAGGTTAGCAACTTCTCCATACTGTCTTCGCCTGGTCATGGCTCTGCAAGGAAATAAGAAGCTGAGAATCTAGAAAAACACAAAGGACACAAGATACAGATGTGGATAGGGCGCCTGGGTGGCTCAGTTGGTTAAGCGACTGCCTTCGGCTCAGGTCATGATCCTGGAGTCCCGGGATCGAGTCCCACATCAGGCTCCCTGCTCAGCAGGGAGTCTGCTTCTCCCTCTGACCCTCCCCCCTCTCATGCTCTCTGTCTCTCATTCTCTCTCTCTCTCAAATAAATAAATAAAATCTTTAAAAAAAAAAAAAAGATACAGATGTGGAAAAACCTACTCTGGGCTACAAAACAGACTTCAACTCAATGTGGTAACCATTTACTGAGCACTGAGTATATATGGGCTTGCACACTAGAGGTTAAAAAAAAAAAAAAGACCTAGCCAAAATCGTCAAAGTAACATCGCTCAGTAAGAGACACAGAGCCAAGCACACATCTGATACCAAGTGGGATAAACTGAGTTCTAAACAGAAACACACATTATGTGCTATGGGAGGTACAAAAGAATGTGTGGGTGATGGATTCTCATTGCGTGGGGGTAGGGAATGTGGGAAGACTATGGATTTGGGTTGGGTACTGTGGGATTAGCAGACTTTTTGACAGAAAATAGGGATAGGAATGTTACTGTCTGAGGATTACAGCATATGGGCAAACCAAACACATCTTCCCACGATACAACAAAGGGCATTCATAGGCATTTATATGTTAACTCAAATCTGGAGGTTTTAAGCCAATATTAAGCAACTCTCCCAGATATGTCTCCTTTCCCTATTACTAAGGTTAATGAAGCTTAAATAAAAGGATGCTAATAAAAGCAACAGTTACACACACAAGGAAGGTCAAATTATTAGATCTAAATTTTTTATTAGGGTTGGACTTTTAAATTAAATGTGTAATATACGACTTCCCTTAAGAGGCATTAAAAAAAAAAAAAAAGACATTTAAGAAGACAGTACCAAGTTCGAACCAATGTGTTCGGGTGCTACTGCAGCCTGGTCTGATAGTCTGGTGGCAAGGGACATCTGGAGCATCTGGAGCAAGGAACAAGGAAACTGCTCTTCTAGTCTCCCACTGGCTGGCTCATATCTCTGATCACTACTCGCAGGAGGATAGACCAGGGTTTGCTGGAGCTCATACAATGCCCGGAGAGACCAGGAAGGGTCTGACCCTGTCCTCCTCCCAGCTTCAGATGCTGCATCTAAATTTCTATGAAGATGTTCTTTCTCTGTCTACATATGAGACTCTACTGAAGCTGGGACAGGGGGAATTCTCAGCCGTGTCAGAATCTTGCTAGTAAAAGAGGCGTTTGGATTGCTTCTTGTGGTAAATAACCAGCTCTTCCTTTTAATACTACTTCTGATGTCCTCATGCATCATTCCCTACAGCTCCTCTATAAACCAAACAGGGTGCTACAGTCTTTGAAAAAGTGGGTTGAAAAAAAAAGTGGGATGAATGATAAATCAAGACTTTCTTTTTTTCTTTCTTTTCTTGCTTGCTTTCTCTTTTTTTTTTTTTTAAAGATTTTTATTTATTCATCAGAGAGAGAAAGACAGAGAGAGCACAAGCAAGGAGAGAGGCAGAGGGAGAGGGAGAAGCAGACTCCCCGCCCAGCTGGGAGCCTGATGCGGGGCTCGATCCCAGGACCCTGGGATCATGACCTGAGCCGAAGGCAGACGCTTAACCATCTGAGCCACCCAGGCGCCCCTCTCTCTCTTTCTTTTTTAAAGCCCTATTTCTATACAGAACATCCAACAGCACTGCAACTCAGCCCAACACAAGTAGGAAGACTTGCCAAGGCAGGGGCTATAGGGAGAGATTATGGTCCTGAATGACCTGGCTGGCCTTAATGGTAGACACCTACCACATTTAAATGAGCCGTATTCTTGGAATCATGAATCATCCTCCACATGCTATCTGGGTCCCTTCCACACTCACTTGCAACTCACTTCAAACTTTCAGGTGTTTGTTACATTTTGAACACCAGAGGGCACAAAGCCAAATGTAACTAAACACCTGAGACCAATTTGCAGAAAGTGGGGCAGGACAGTGAGCCCTCCCTGGCTGAGGAGTAAAATACCTATGATGCCATTCTCTTTACATGGCACATTCACTTCCTGTGGACCCCAAAGAGAAAGCTGACGCTGCTTACTCGAGGGAATCCACGCCACCTGCTAACATGTGCAGGTGGTTCAGCGTTGTGATTGAGGTGGTCAGGTGGCGTTTGGCATGATCTAGCTGCTTAATATCGCGGGTGATTTCTTTAACCTAAGTAGTGAAAAACCACAGGAGAAAAAGGAAGAAGGTTAAGAATGATGTAAATCCATTTGCAAGTAGCTCCACAAGAAAATAAGGCAAATGAAACAAGGGAAAAACCCTCAGGTTAGCTCCTGGAGAAAACACATACATTCTCATCACGTATAAAATCAAAATACCTTCCAATCAGTCCATTTAAATCTCATCTGGCATTTCTTCAGAAGGCTTTACCCAGGGGTTCAAAATCTTCAACTATGAGAACAAAATGAACTTTATTTTTCACCCCAAATGGAGTGATCCAAACAGCAATTTAGTATGGAGCTTATAGGGTCCAGGAGCCAAGTTTGGCACATATCCTCTTGAACAAGGTCAGAAAAGTATGCCTTCTGATAGGGGGGCTACCAGGTTCGACACAAATGGACAGTATTAGTTGGCTAATTCTGTTGAACCGATCTTTATTCATGGAACTAGGGTTTACTGCCCGATCTCCAGCAAAGAAAGACTTGCTCTCAAATCTTAAGAAGACTAAAATAACATAACATATGCCTAACATGTACTGTCACAGAGGAGAGGTGAAGTCGTCAGGAGCAAGAAGATAATGGGGGAAGTAAAATTCAGACAGTGTTCACCCAGTAGATCCAAGAGAAATAAACTCTGTACCTGGAATACAAGTATATTTCAGTCACTAGAAAAGCACATTCAGTAATGAAGTGGGAACAATTCTCCAACTTTACTAACATCTAGGTAGAATGTTCCACTGAACTGCCTGAGTTCATGTTGACCAAGAAACTTTCTGAAGAGCAATTTGGTTTCCCGGGTTCTTTGATACCTGGAAGGAAGGGAGTGCCCTGGACGCTAGGCACAAATATTCTAGTCACTGGAAAGACCTATCTCCCACTAAAAGTGAAAAACTTGGTGGTGAGTTAAGTTCACATGATCTGATTTTTCAGAGTCTGATCACCCCATGTGAACCCATAAAGTAAAGATTATGACCCTCACAGCTTCGTTCCACACCCACAAACCTGCTAAGCTGACCTGGATCTTGGCAGTAAAAGTCTCTCTCACGGGGAATACCCCATCAAGCCCACTCTCCCTGTAATTCTCAGGCCATCAAAGTATCTCTATTTCTATTCCCTGCGGGTGGGGGAAGGGGGGTGGGAATAGGTTAAGAACTTCTTCACGGAATAACTGAGCTTAGGGAAAAACAGGATCAGGAGTGGTACAGCGAATTAGTACAGGAGTTTGGTCCTAGAATCTGATAACCCACTTCCGACACTGAAATCATCGCCCTCTTCTCTACAGAAAAATCCCTGCACCTCTTATGAGCTTCCTTAGCTCCAGTGCTAACATCAGGAGTCTTTAACTATTGCATGAAAAGTCAGAGTCATCTGTGACTCTACTCATTCCTACATCATTAGTCAGCCACTAAATCCTGAATATTCTTCCTGTGCCTCATCACAAAAACTGTCCCTTCCTACTCATCCTTCAGGCCCTCCCTGGAGCTCTGCACCAGAAGTGACTGGTCTCTCCATTCTCAGTACCTCCCGTCTCCCCATCACATATCCTGTGCTTCCCTAGACAAACCGAGCTCATGCAAAGGATGCTCAGGTCAAAGTCACAAAGATCATTATACAAATAGGATACCCATAGTTAATGTACCTTAACTGTTAGCCAGGGGCAGCCAAAAAATGACAGAACATGACATGGCAGGTTTTGGAGTTAGGTAGCTCTAGGGTTGAATCTCAGCTCTTCCACTCACCAACTTTGTCCTAGAATAAGCTACTTACCCTGAGTCTCAGTTTCCTCATTTATAAGATGAGTAATCATAGGGGCACCTCGGTGTCTCAGTCAGTTAAGCGCCTGCCTTCAGCTCAGGTCATGATCCCAAGGTCCTGGGATTGAGCCCTGCATTGGGCTCCCTGCTCAGCGGGGAGACTGTTTCTCCCTCTCCCTCTGCCCCTCCCCCTGCTCGTGGTCTTTCTCTCAAATAAATAAATCCTTTTTTAAAAATGATTTTATTTATTTATTTGAGAGAGAGAGAAAGCATGAGCAGGGGGAGGGAGAAGCAGGTGTGAGAGCTAAATTAGATTACTTATAAAGGATATCTATGGCATAGTATTTGGTACATTGAAGGACTGCAACAATTATCAGTTCTCTCTTCAGTCCTACCTCTTCTTCCCTTTAGCAAAGCAATAGCCAGGAGAGCAAACTGCTTTAAAATAAAACATCTCGCGGTTCGACGGCCTGTGGATGGTGCTGAGGCAGAGCATCCTTGGGGAAAGAACCACAAATCCAAATCCCTCTCTGATGACATACAGCCTCCCCTCAAAAACTATTTAATTCTGTGACAAAGCACAAATATTAGTATTTTTCCTCTGATGAAAGGGTTCTGTTCCTTTGACTCCTCATTTGGCAGTTAAGGCCCATAACACTGCCTGCCTGGGAAGAACAGGAAGCGCTAACGGTAAGAATAGCAACAACCGATCCTTACTCAGGGGCCATGGCTGTCACACACGATCTCATTTAATCCCCCCAATTCTATGATGTACCCAGACTATTATCTCCATTTTACAGTGATGAAACCAAGGCACAGATGGGTTCAATAACTTGCCACAGCTAGTAAGTAGAGGGGCTGGATCCCAATGCAGGCAGCCTGCCTGCAGAGGTCATGCTCTCCACTACTCAGTCAAGCTGCCCGTCCCCCTCCACTCCATATCCTTCCCTATCGTGCCAAATGGCCACTGAAGAGAGCTGCAGGATACACAGAAATGTGACATCAGCTCTGTTCCTGTAGTAAATTAGAGGAGGATATAGGGCGAGAAGACGGTAAGGATTTGGGAGTTTTTGTAACCAAAAGTAGTAGGGGGGAAAATGACATTAGTAATGACTTCAGTCACAAGCCTAGCTCAGTGCCCCTCATACATTTAATTCTTCAACAATCCTTTAAGGCAGGTGTGATTGTTCTTATCTTACAGTTGAAGAAACTGGAATTCAGAGACAGTTCAGAGACATGACATTACGTGGTCAGAATGTGAGCACAGGAGCTAACGTTTTATAGTGAATCCCCCCTCCCCCCTATGGAGTAGGAGTGGGGGAGGCTGGATTCTCGGTGAGCAGAGAGGCCTCCTGAGTACATCACCGGGGAACACAAATCTGTCAAGGGGAAACTTAATCAAAACCATAAGCACGTATTGTGGCAGGAGACATCCTCCCTCCCAGATCCTGTACCATTTTTCACCCTATACCAAGTTACATATCGTATATCTTAACTGAGAAATACATGATATATACAAATGGCATGCCGAGAAAGGAATCCAAAATGACTAGAAAACTATTTTTGGGAAAGAAGAAGGAAACTTTTCCTATTTAAAAACAGGGCTGCAAATGTAGGGCAGCAGGGATGGTGAGTCACGGCATGTCTAACAGCTCCTCTTGAATCGATCTGGAATGTTCTCACAGGGCTTGCTTTAGAGATGTGGGTGCTCTGGTTGACAGCGAGTGGGAGAAAAAGCCCAGTAATTAGTATGACTGGACAAGAACGTAACTTCCTCTTCAAGTGCAAAAAAGTTAGGAAGAAACCTAAACTCACCATTTGCTCTGATTTTTCTGCTTTGTCTTTGATATCTTTGATTTTGCCGAAGAGTTGCTGAATAGCTTTCTGGGCCTCTTCAAGTGCCTAGAATAAGAGAAAAACACAACAAACAAGAAGCAACACAAGACAGTACCAGTCACTACACAATAATCAAGTCTAGTTTCAGAAGAAAACTACCATAAAGCTCTCTTGACTCACTGTACTTATGTAGACAATTTTACTGCACCAAAGCAGTAGACAGACTCTAGGATTTGGATACAGGCAAATACACAGGATTCTTGCCAACCTGAATCATAAAGTTTTAATTTAAAAACGATCTCCCTCCATCTCAGGGATTACATGTTTTTAAAAAAATTTTTTTATTTGTTATTATTTTATTTATTAAATTCAATTAACATATAGTGTATTATTAGTTTCAGATGTAGAGTTCAGTGATTCATCAGTTGCATATAACACCCAGTGCTCATTACATCATGTGCCCTCCTTAATGCCCATCACCCAGTGACCCCCATCTCCCCACCTTCCTCCCCCCCAGCAACCCTCAGTTTATTTCTTATAGTTAAGAGTGTCTTATGGTTTGTCTCCCTCTCTGATTTCGTCTTATTTTATTCTTCCCTCCCTTAGGGATTACTACATGTTACTGATAACACATAAACAAGACATGCACATTTGTGCCTTTTTGTGCGTGTGTATGTACATGCACACATCCATAATAACCGTCAAAGCTTGTAGAGAGACACAGGTGGCTATAAGTTGGGAGAAACTATGAATTTAGAAAGTTCTAGAAGGCTGTACTTTCAACAAAATCAACTGTACATGGGGATTCCAGGACTGTGGCAAACCTTAAAGACATTTCTAGTACCCCGTTTGGAAACCTAGGACATGAAGTTAGAAAGGGACACTTAAAGCTAACAGTGCGCCAAATGTTTCTACTGAAAAACCTAGAAGATGGATGCCATACATGAAAAGTATGATAAGCCACGATCGCTTCTGTGAGTAGGAGAAGAGGTATTTGGGGAGCTGTCAGGGTGCTAAAACCACACACGTGCAGGATGTATGTACTTAGAAAAGATGCAGCAGCCAGAAGAAGAACTCATTCTGCATTTCATCAAACACACTTTATTGATTTTGGATTGAAGAGCGGTCTGTCCTACCCGGGCCTCACAAGCCCTCTCTGAAGGTAATGATAAGGCCAGTGTAAGCCTAGAGCTGTGTGTGGCCCTCTCAGCCTGCACAGGGAAATAGCCAGCCTCCCCGAGAGCTTCCCACAGAAGGAAGAGGAAAGCAGAGCCGAGACGAAGGGAGGACAGAAGCCCTGACAGAATGATTTGGACTTCTGTGTTCAGCTGTACCCAATGAAAAAGCTGCCTCTAGATCCTGAACTCACACGTCTTTTGTACTTTAAAAACATCCCCAAAAAGCAAACTTGGGCTGGCTTCCTCTGCGGCAAATTCCTTCCTTGCTGGAGGCAGGGCTGTGTCTTCCTTTCCTTCGTAGGTTTCCCTGGCTGTCCACTTCTTCTGATACTGGGAATCCTTGCTGCTTTTGGAGTTCCTTGCCCCGTGTGTGGCTCAATCGCAAACAGGAGTTTCACACGCTGAGCTGTTGCATGTGATTGTATTACGGCCTCTAAAATGCATGTCCAGGGGTGCCTGGGTGGCTCAGTGGTTAAGCGTCTGCCTTCGGCTCAGGTCATGATCCCAGGGTCCTGGGATCGAGCCCCACATTGGGCTCCCTGCTCCGCGGGAAGTCTGCTTCTCCTTCTCCCATTCTCCCTGCTTACGTTCCCTCTTCTCGCTGTGTCTCTCTCTGTCAAATAAATAAATTAGCTCTCTAAAAAAAATAATAATAATAAAATAAAATGCATGTCCAGAAGGTCCTCTGAGAAGCTGTTCCTTGAGCCCATTGTGGCCGAGTCTGAGGGTACACTATTCCAGCTGCGGCTTGCATCCCCTCCTGGGGCAGGCCAGGTCAGTGTGTGTTTTCTCTGCTGGATCGCTTCACTTGTATCTACAAAGGTTTGTGAGCAAAGGAGCTTTTATACTTGTGATTTCTGCCACCTGGGCACAGGATTTTAATCACCAGAAAGTCTGGTCTTCGAACAATAGCTGGCATTGCTATCAGATCCAAAAATTCCTAACTTGGGAAATGTTACCGAAAAAGCAGGAAACGATCGAAAGACAAGGTGGAATGGAAATGGGTCGCACCGAGCAGCTCCTCTCAATCCCATTCTGCCCCAAGAGGATGCCTCACTCAGCAACCTTCCCTCCTGGTTTCCTGCCATCCTGCTTTCTCATTCTAGGATTCAGGCCCCCGAAACAGCTGTGGTGGTGTGAGGAAGCCCTGTATTTTCCAACCAGCAGGCAGCAGTGAGGCCCGCCTCTGCTGTCTCACTCTGTGTGCACGCTCTCTGGGTATCCGCTCCCTCATCTGCAAAGTGATGATGATGGCACCTACTTCCATGGTTCTGGGGAAGATTCAATGACATAACAGGTGTAAAAAACTGCACAAGTATTAGGTTTATTTCCAGGGCTCAGGACTACCCAAGCAAATGCATGCCTGCATCTCTGCATAGACACACAGAGACATGCATATATAATGTCCCCTTGACCATACCTTTCCCTCTCAGCACGACCACGAGGCCTGCCCACTCTCTGACGCTTCCTACCCTAAGCCACCCCCTGAGCGAATCCTCGTCCACTCATTCCACTTCCCCGTCCCCCCAAGAATTCTCTTTTTCATTTCTAATATTCACCTCCTCAAAACCAGCATACAAGCAAGATTCTCTTGAGCGCTTCTTACTACCATCCCACCCAACTTCAGATTTCCTAAGATTATGACAAACCAAGTTCTAACAAAATTAAAAGGATAAAAAGGAATAAAATATCAAATGTCCATTTACAACCAAAGGAGTGAAATTTCAAAATAAAATGTTCAACATAGCTACTGATAGTGTGCAAACCTTTGTTGTCTCCCATGGCCTAGTTCAAATGCCACTTCTTCCCCTTCCCTCCCAATACCCTCTCCTATAAACACGCGGCACACAGTGGAATCCATTCATCTGGGTGCCTCTGATCCTTTATGCATACTTAACATTTATAATAATTTTTTTGTGAATGTGTCTTTTGGTTGGACCATGACATTCTTAAAAGGCACGGACCGTATCTCATTCATCGTGATTTACTGGCACCAAGGGCGGCACCTAGAATAATACAGTAGGTGCTCAATACATGTTTATTAAGTTGAATTTTAAAATCAATCACGGGGGGCGCCTGGGTGGCTCAGTCGTTCAGCATCTGCCTTCGGCTCAGGTCATGATCCCAGGTCCTGGGATCGAGCCCCGCATCGGGCTCCCTGCTCGGCGGGAAGCCTGCTTCTCCCTCTCCCGCTCCCTCTGCTTGTGTTCTCTCTCTAGCTGTCTCTCTCTCTCTAATAAATAAATAAAATCTTTAAAAAAAAAAATGTTTAAAATCAATCACGGTACACACACACATGCTCCATCTTTACTCTCAGGATAGTCAGGCAACAAACACGTTAGCCACAGTAGTTATGGCCGTACCAGCATTTCAACTGAAGACCTTCTTTCAAGCAACATAATTCAGTTTTGCAATCCTCCCATACTGAAAAATATACCGGGTTAATTAACCTAGGAAATGAGACAGGAAAATGTTTTAACTTACCATGCTATCAAATTTTGTAAAACTGTAGCTAGAGTAGTAAATTACTTATACACACACACACACACATATATATACTTCACAAATAAACATATATGTGTATATATGTATATATAAAATTGCATCTACCTCAGAACCTTCCATATATTCCTCTCCTTTCAAGAAAGGCATTTTTCTTTTTTTTAAAGATTTTATTTATTTGACAGACAGAGAGGGAACAAAAGCAGGGGGAGTGGGAGAGAAGAAAAGCAGGCTTCCTGCGGAGCAGGGAGCCTGACACAGGGCCTGATCCCAGGACCCTGGGACCATGACCTGAGCCGAAGGCAGACGCTTAATGACTGAACCACCCAGGCGCCCCAAGAAAGGCATTTTTCTATGATTGTCTTTGAATAAAAAAACTACATTTTTAGATTATTTCAGGTATCTGTAAACACTAGATTACAATTTTTCCTTCTGAAATAATTGTTAAATCATTGTCTTTTGGCCATGCTGCTCAGGAACTAAAACAAATTTTAATATCCACTTTACTCAATCAATAAACACCATACTAGAGATGCAGGGATAAAAAATGTAATTCCTGCTCTCAAGGAGTTTATCCCTAATAAGGCAAATAGAATAATAAACAGTAAAAACACTGAGACATGATAATGATATGTTCAGAATGTTGTGGGAGCCCAGAGAGCCCACTGCCAACACCAGCTTTGTCTGTTTGTTCGTCCAGTAGGAAGAGAGAAAGAGAAGGAAGGAAGGCCCACAAATTCATCCTGAAGAAGGTCACAACTTTACACGCTACCATTTAGGCCAGAATGTTTTAAAATAAGAGCAGTAAGAGTAGTGAGTACTTTAAAAATGCTATTTTTCAAATCTATATTCTATCACAAATTCTCACTTCCCAGCCACGCAGGCCTTCGGTGTCTTCACTGTCACTGACTGAAGACAACCTGTATCTGAATCGTTACTCTGAATTCCTGTGGCAGTTATAGTCTCAACTGCATTAGTCAGCATTTCATTAATTCATTTCTTCTATCATTCAACAAATATTTATTTCTTTATTTTTAAAAGATTTTATTTGAGAGAGAGAGAGAGCACAAGCAGGGGGAGGAGCAGAGGGAGAGGGAGAAGCAGAATCCCCGTTGAGCAAGGAGCCCGATGTAGGGCTCGATCCCAGGACTCTGGGACCATGACCTGAGCCGAAGGCAGACGCTGAACCACCTGAGCCACCCAGGTGCCCCATCAACAAATATTTATTGAACATCTTCCGTGTACCAGATATTCCTCTAAGCACTGAAAACCCAATGGCAGATGAGACAGACATGGTCCTTCTCCCTGTCCTCAAGGAACTTACTCCAAGAAGTGGCAGGTGGGGAGAGATACTGGAAAAACAACTAACTAAAGAAAGAAAGTAGA